CTAGAGACCCATAGGGGACCCCATAGAGCCCCATAGGCCCCATAGAAACCATTGGGACCCATAGGGACCCCATAGACACCCATAGAGACCCATAGAGACCCATAGAGACCCATAGAGACCCATAGAGATCTCAAAGGGACCCACAGAAACCCCATAGAGCCCTGTAGAGACCATTGGGACCCATAGAGACCCATAGAGACCCATAGACCCCATAGGGACCCATAGAGACCCATAGGGACCCATAGAAACCATTGGGACCCATAGGGACCCCATAGAAATCCCACAGAGACCCATAGAGACCCCATAGAGCCCCATAGAAACCATTGGGACCCATAGAGACCCATAGAGACCCATGGAGACCCATAGAGAGAGACCTATAGGAACCCCATAGAAATCCCATAGACACCCATAGAGACCCCATAGAAACCATTGGGACCCATAGGGAACCATAGAGCCCCATAGGGACCCACAGAAACCCCATAGAGCCCCATAGAGACCCATAGGGACCCCATAGAGAACCCACAGAAACCTTTGAGACCCATAGAGCCCATAGGGACCCATAGGGACCCATAGAGACCCATAGAGACCCATAGAGACCCATAGAAAACCATAGAGAGAGACCCCTAAGACCCCATAGGACCCCATAGGACCCCATAGGGACCCATAGGGACCCACAGAGAACCATAGAGACCCATAGAGACTCATAGGGACCCCATAGAGCCCCATAGACCCTATAAAAACCATTGGGACCCATACGGACCCCATAGAGCCCCATAGAGACCCATAGAGACCATTGGGACCCATAGGGACCCCATAGAGACCCCATAAAAACTTTTGGGACCCATAGAGCATCATAGGGACCCCATTGAGCCCCGCAGGAACCCCATAGAGCCCCAAAGAACCCATAGAGACCCCATAGAACCATAGAGACCCATGGGGACCCCATATTGACCCATAGGGACCCATAGAGAACCCATAGAGCCCCATAGAATCCTTAGAGACCCATAAGGACCCATAGGGACCCACAGAGACCCATAGAGACCCACAGAGACCTCAGAGGGACCCACAGAAACCCCATAGAGCCCTGTAGAGACCATTGGGACCCATAGAGACCCATAGGGACCCATAGGGACCCCTAAGACCCCATAGAGACCCCATAGGGCCCCATAGAGACCCATAAAGACCCCATAGAGACCCGTAGGGATCCCATAGAGCCCCATAGAGACCCACAGAAACCCCATAGAGCCCCATAGAGCCCCATAGAAACCATTGGGACCCATAGAGCCCCATAGAGACCCATAAAGACCCCATAGAGACCCATAGGGATCCCATAGAGCCCCATAGAGACCCACAGAAACCCCATAGAGCCCCATAGAAACCATTGGGACCCATAGAGCCCCATAGAGACCCATAGAGCCCCATAGGGACCCTCAGAAACCCCATAGAGCCCCATAGAGACCATTGGGACCCATAGGGAATCATAGAGACCCATAGAGACCCACAGAAACCCCATAAAGTCCCATAGAGACCCATAAAGACCCCATAGAGAACCATAGGGATCCCATAGAGACCCCATAGAAACCTTTGGGACCCATAGAGCCCCATAGAGACCCCACAGAAACCCCATAGAGCCCCATAGAACCCATAGCGACCCCACAGAAACCATTGGGACCCATAGGGACCCCATAGAGCCCCATAAGGACCAATAGGGACCCATAGTGGTGACCTAAGCCCCGCCCCCCTACTTCCGGAAGTGCTGCATTTTCCCCACCCTCTTCTCCCCGGAAGTGCTGACCTTAACCCCGCCCCCCTGCTTCCGGAAATTCTGCTTTTATCCCCTCCCCCTTCATCCCGGAAGTGCTGACCTAAACCCCGCCTTCCAACTTCCGGAATTGCTGCATTTTCCCCTCCCCCTCCCTCCCGGAAGTGCAGCCATTAGCCCCTCCTCCTCCATCCCGGAAGTGCTGACCTTAGCTCTACCCCTAACTTCCGGACGTGCTGCTTTTAGCCCCTCCCACTCCATCCCGGAAGTGCTGACCTAAACCCCGCCCCCAACTTCCGGAATTCCTGCATTTTCCCCTCCCCCTCCCTCCCGGAAGTGCACCCCATTAGCCCCTCCCCCTCCATCCCGGAAGTGCTGACCTTAGTCCCGCCCCCCAGCTTCCGGAAGTGCTGCTCTCAGCCCCGCCCACCGTCCCCGCCCTGCTGCAGCGGATCCTTCACCGATTGGCTGCTCGCCACGGCCCCGCCCTCGAGTTCTCATTGGCCGCCCTCAGCGCCGCCCCTTACGGTAAGCCCCGCCCCCTCATTTCCATATGCAAATCAACTCCCTGGAAAATCCCGATTTTGACCAAAAACGGGCGAAATTTTGGGATTTCGATGAATTTTAGGCCATTTTTCTCCATTTTCTCCCCGCAAAAATGTGAATTTTCACCAAATCTCCCCATTTTTTACCAAATATGAGAAACGTTTTTTCGTTTTTTGGAGATTTCTTACCCCATTTTTTCCATATTTATGAAAAAAATTACACCATTTTGGGGAATTTTTTAAAGAAATCCCAACTTTTCCAAAATTTATCTTTTTTTTACGAAATTTGGGAAGTTTTACCCCACATTTTCCCACTTTTAACCAAATCTCTGCGTTTTTTTGACCAATTTTGGCCTTTTTTCCCCATAATGATTTATTCTTCCATTTTTCCCCCATTTTGGGGAAATTTTGCACCATTTTGGGCCATTTTTAATAGAAATTCCAACTTTTCCAAAATTTCTCTTTTTTTTACGAAATTTGGGAAGTTTTACCCCACATTTTCCCACTTTTAACCAAATCTCTGCGTTTTTTTGACCAATTTTGGCCTTTTTTCCCCATAATTTTGATTTATTCCCCCATTTTCCCCCATTTTGGGGAAATTTTGCACCATTTTGGGCCATTTTTGTCAGAAATCCCAACTTTTCCCAAATTTCTCTCTTTTTTTTATGAAATTTGGGAAATTTTACCCCACGTTTTCCCACTTTTAACCAAATCTTTGTGGGTTTTTTTGACCAATTTTGGCCTTTTTTCCCCATAATTTTGATTTCTTCCCCCATTTTTTTCCTATTTTTGGGAAACTTTCCACCATTTTGGGCCATTTTTGTCAGAAATGCCAACTTTTCCCAAATTTCTCTTTTTTTTAATGAAATTTGGGAAATTTTATCCCATATTTTCCCACTTTTATCCAAATCTCTGCGTTTTTTTGACCAATTTTGGCCTTTTTTCCCCATAAATGTGATTTATTCCCCCATTTTTTCCCTATTTTTGGGAAAATTTGCGTCATTTTGGGCCATTTTTAACAGAAATCCCAACTTTTCCCAAATTTCTCTTTTTTTTTTTACCAAATATGGGAAATTTTACCCCACATTTTCCCACTTTTAACCAAATCTCTGCGTTTTTTTGACCAATTTTGGCCTTTTTTCCCCATAATTTTGATTTCTTCCCCCATTTTTTTCCTATTTTGGGGAAATTTTGCACCATTTTGGGCCATTTTTGTCAGAAATTCCAATTTTCCCCAAATTTCTCTGTATTTTTTTTACCAAATATGGGAAAATTTCTCCCAAATTTTCTCCCTTTTCTCCCCAACTGCTTTCCCTCCCCAGCTGCTCATTAGCATCTATTTTGCATACGTTTTACATACCCCCATGGGCATTGTGGGCAACAATCCCTCATTTGCATACATTTGATTACGAGGAGCTCCGAGATTTAATTCTGATCTGGAGCTAAGCGGCCGCTCATTAGCATATTCATTTGATTAGCATATGCATTTGCAGAAGCTCCCCTTTAGCATAAATTTGCATACTTAGGGTCATCATGATTTACGTTGCGTATTCGCATATGCAAATAAGCCATATCTTCTCATTATCGCAGTCATTGGAGCAGGAGCTGCCCTCAGTGCTCGTTAGCATATATTTGCATATCCACTAGCCAGTCCGCACCAATTAGCATATATGAGTCATCAACATTATGGTCATTAGCATAAATTTGCATTAATTGGTTATGGAGGATTTGTTAGAGGGTCATTTGCATACGATCGTATGGTTATAATGGTGATTTATTTACATATGCAAATAAACCACATCCTCTCATTATCACCGTCATCGTTTGCATGCGAACTGAGCAGGAGTTCCTCTCAGTGCTCATTAGCATATATTTGCATGTCCGCTGGCCATATCCAGTCCCACTGCACTAATTAGCATATATTTCCATAATACGGCACAAACAGGTGATTGCGTGCCTTATTAGCATAAATTTGCATACGGCTCCATGCTGTGTGTACGCATGTTTGTTAATTCGATTAATTGGTTAATATGGAAGATTAGAATGCAGGTTCATTTGCATATGACCCTATGGTTACAATGGTGATCTAGGTTGCATATTTACATATGCAAATAAACCACATCCTCTCATCATTTGCATGCGAACTGAGTGGGAGTTCATCAACTAATTACTTGATCAATTAATCAGTTAATTGCTTAATACAGATGATTGGTTAGGACGGAAGATTTCCCCTCGGCGCTCATTAGCATACATTTGCATACCGCATCCATCACATGACGCGTATGAGCCGACTAATTAACATAAATTTACATAGGTCTCAGGTGGAGGCCGGTCATCATCAGTTAATTGGGAGGATTTAATTAGTTAATAGGGAGGATTGGTTGGAATGGAGGATTTCCCCTCGGCGCTCATTAGCATACATTTGCATATAGCGTCCATCACGCACCGTGTACGACCCGGCTAATTAGCATAAATTTACATACGCCCCATCCTCCACGGCCTCGGGCGGAGGCCGGTCATCAATTAATTAGTTAATTGGTTAGAATGGAGGATTTCCCCTCATTAGCATACATTTGCATACGACATCTGTCAGATCCCCACGTACGAGCCGTCTAATTAGCATAAATTTGCATACACATCATCCTCCACGAATGGAGTGGAGGCCGGCCCGGCCCGAATCGGGCGGCGCTCATTAACATAAAATTTGCATCCCGGCCCAGGATTGGAGGAGGCGCAGCTGCTGCGGCTGCTGGGGGCGGAGCTTCGGCTGAGGGGCGGAGCCAAGGTCACGTGGGAGGAAACCCTGCGGGCGCTCAGCCCAGCCAAGATGGCTGCCGAGATGTGGGGGCTGCTCAGGGACCTGCGCTGGTAGGGAGCCCTGAAACCCCATAGAAACACAGAGGGACCCCATAAACCCCATAAAAACCCCATAGGGACCCCATAGAAACCCATAGGGACCCCATAGGGACCCCATAAACCCCATAGAAACCCATAAACCCCATAAAAACCTCATAGGGACCCCATAAACCCCATAAAAACCCCATAGGGACCCCATAAATCCCATAGGGACCCCATAGAAACCCATAGGGACCCCATAAACCCCATAGGGACCCCATAGAAACCCATAGGGACCCCATAAATCCCATAAAAACCCCATAGGGACCCCAGAAAACCCCATAAAACCCCATAGGGACCCCATGAAACCCCATAAAGTCCCATAAAAACCCCATAAAGTCCCATAGGGACCCCATAGGGTACCCATAAAATCCCATAAAATCCCATAAAGTCCCAGAAAACCCCATAATGATCCCATAGGGACCCCATAAAACCCCATAAAGTCCCATAGGGACTCCATAGAAACCCCATAGAACCCCATAGGGACCCCATAAAGTCCCATAAAACCCCGTAAATCCCATAAAACCCCATAATGATCCCATAGGGACCCCATAGAACCCCATAAAGTCCCATAGGGACCCCATAAAGTCCCATAAAACCCCATAAAGTCCCAGAAAACCCCATAAATCCCATAAAACCCCATAAAGTCCCATAGGGACCCCATAAAGTCCCATAAAACCCCATAAAGTCCCAGAAAACCCCATAAAGTCCCATAAGAACCCATAGGGACCCCATGAAACCTATAAAGTCCCATAAAAACCCCATAAAGTCCCAGAAAACCCCATAAATCCCATAAAACCCCATAAAGTCCCATAGGGACCCCATAAAGTCCCATAAAGTCCCATAAATCCCATAAAACCCCATAAAGTCCCATAAAACCCCATAATGATCCCATAGGGACCCCATAAAGTCCCATAAAAACCCCATAAAATCCCATAGGGATCCCATAAAGTCCCAGAAAACCCCATAGGAATCCCAGAA